CGTGGAAGCGACCCACAACAACCATGCTCAAAACGGCCTGATTCGGGTTCTCTGACCTCAGAAACGTCCAGAAAACATGTTTTTGAGGTTTCGTAAATTTTTACCTATTGCAATACTTTCCCCTTTCACACTAGGTGTGTGCGGAAAAGTAAAAACAAAAACAAAATGAAATATTGCCGAAAATGCGCTGTTGCATTTGATGATGATTACAGTAAAGAGGGTCCTCAAAACCTCCTGCATGAGAGCATGACCATAAATCATACGAATAAATGGTGAACCGTCTAAATATATGAACATTAGAGTTTATATTCGTTTGTTTGCGCAATTTTGTGCCCCTAAAATTAAAGATGGTTTTATGCACCCCAAAAAGAACTGCATCAATCACTTTGTATTCACACACACACAAAAAATATTACTTAAATTTTTTTCAATAATATTTACATAAATTAGACAAAATGCAGAAGAGAAGACTTAACCAATAGATTATTAGTTGAGCTCATGTTATTTAGTGGGCATTTATGTTTTGGATTTAAAAAAATATTCCTTTTCGAGTGGTGTATTCTCTGGGTTACAACGATAAAGTGTCATAATTCAAAATTAAACGATATTTAATCCACCTATGGCTAATTTAGCTTAATGTGCAACGTATAATGATTGGCAAATGAATGAATGAAAATTTATTGACTATTCTTTAGTCTAATGGTATCATAATCAATATAATTCATCGTTCATTTCCATTCATGATCAAACAAAATTTCAGCTCAAATAAATTTTAACATCGATGAAAGCGATTAATTTTGTACCTGTCCATTTTTGTCCATTTCGTTATTGGTTAGTTTGACTTTTTCAAAAGACACCACTTGTTTTCGAAGCACATCAACACTAATTGGTGAATCCGGATGAGCATAAAGACGCGGTGGAGGCGGTGGGTCAGCCTTTCCGGCAACCAACCACGTTGAACGATGATATGCATAACGATAGCGTCTAACGTCCGTCGGAATAATATCTAGCAAAACAGCATATCGATCAGCTGGTTGATTGAATCTCAATGGTCCCGAAAATGAAACTCGTACCGTTGGAAACATTCGCCTGAAAATACAAAGAAAAAAATCCAAATAAATGAATTTTCAAGTTTTATCTATATTCAATGTTCCATGGCGGGTAAATATTTTCTCTACCTTGATGAAGAAAGAATTTTTCACATGCGATGGCACAAGACATAAACAATTATAATATTATTTTTTTTGCGGCGGCTACAAACATAGATGAAACAGGTGTGAATTGTGTATGCGTGATGGAATCGACAGAGACTTACAGAAACAAAGAGAGTGGAAAAACGAGAGAATCTACTCAGATGCTGCTATCACTCATCATATGGAGTTCACACATTTAAATGCAATTAGAGTGGTGCAGTGGCACCATTTGCTTTCCTGTTCTGACATTTTCTCGCTCAAATCAACTTGTCTCATTAACGCACTCCATTTCTTATCGAAATAGCGATGTGAGAAAAATTGAGAAAATTGTGCCCCAACAGTGGTTATACTACAATAAAAACTAAGTGTTCGTTTGATTTACATGAATTACCAATGTGCAACAAATTGGTAAGTTCTTTTACACCTGTACCGAAAACGGGAATTGAAATCGGCCAAAGGGGGCAGACACGTTTGGCAACAGCAAAAAAATAAGTATATGACGATCTTTAAATTAACTTCTTTCGCACGCATCGTCGATTTTTATGTCTTTTTGATTGGTTAATAATATTATTATCGAATAAAAATAAAAAAAATACATTTTGCACTATTAATGAACGAAAAACTTTTATTTTCTTCGAATTTAAAAACAAAAATTTCTCCCCTTTTCAATTGGTATTTGCGATTTTCTTTCCCATCACTAGTAAATACTTCTCTGTATACAAAAATAAGCTGAAAGCAATACAGTAATCAAACTGACTGCAGCCAAGGCAATAATTTTGCTGTTTTTTTTAATGTTTTCGTAGCTGGAATGCAATGCAGTTTTGGTCGGTCATGCCCGCCGCGATTTCTGCATCATGGAAATATTGGCAAATGCATGCAAATCGCTCATTAGCAGCAAATGTAAGATAATTTTCACTTCTGTGTTGACATACTCGAATAAACACATATGGATGTTTATATAATTTCTTAATGGCCCGTACTGGCTTCAGACCGAGTAGTATTCGCACAGATTCACATGAAACATGAAATAGGCGCAAATTATTATGAATTACGTTACGATTAACGGCTTGTATTAACAATATAAATAACTTGATAGTTCAATTTTACTGGTTTTTGGCTTTCAACAAATATTCCTGACTTCCAAAGTAAAAAAGAAAAACACATTCTAGTCGAATGCGCATAGGCCTTTTGTTTTTTTTTTTTAAACTCGGAACTGGTTTGCCAGAATTAATTGATCGATTGTCATCGCGAAAAACGAAAATTATTACTTTCCACGCCGTTACATTTTTGTATATGCCTTCGGCTGTATCGGTCAAAATTAATTAAAAAACTTCAAGTTAATTTCCGCAGTGTGTGATGTATACACGGTGCAGTAAAGAGCAATGCAACGTCAAGTATATCGCACCAAGTAATTGAATCGATTTTGGGTTACATTTGTCATCGTGTTGTAACCAGTCGATACCGTATTTACATTGACGATGGCTTTGCTGCGTGTTCTGCATATATTCATACAGTTATACGGCTGTAATTTTGTTCTTCGTTTTCCGCTTGTTATCGTTGTCGTCGTCATCGTCATCGGTCACTCTCATTATGTAATAAAAAAAAACCATTTGTTTGACGACGATGGATTTCATTGGATGATGGCTTCTGTTGTTGTTTTCATTACATCGATTAATATGTATTATTTGATTGAATGTATTTATTTCGCTTTGTTTTTTTTTTTTTTTTGCTCCAGGGAAAACTTATGCCATCCGGAAATCAAATGGTCGAAACATTCAAAACACAATTCGAGTAATCCAAAACATAAAATTATCGACAGCCGGAAATTAGCCATTTTCCAATGACCAAAACAAAATTTCGGCTTTCATCCAAAGGCTATTTTTTATACCGACCAAATGGTAAACATTTTATTTTTAGCAGAACTATTTTCAATTTCATTGCTTTTGGAATTGTTATATTTGTGAAAAGGAATAATTGTAAAGGGAATTCGGAGGCTTTTGAAAGGAGAGAGAGAAAAAAACGGACAAAAATGACTTTAAGCCATTTTCATGACATGTTTTCATCCAATACAATGCATTGTGTTTACGTAAAAATCGAAAATTACCCAAATGTTTGTATACAAACAGAACATTTTTCTATACGAATAATTCCAAAGAAACCATAAAAAAACGACAAGCACCGAGTGAGGCGGAGAGAGAGAGAGATAAAGAGTGCACAGCGAAAGAGTATGACAGCGCACATTCTATGTTGTGGGTTGCCGTTTTGCTAACCTTTGGTGGTCATTGTATTGAGCCATGACTTGCTTTCATCAGCAATTTGTTACAGTCAATCCACTAGTGTTGTTGTTGTTGTTGTTATTGTTGATGTACAAGTTGAGAGATTGATATTGTTTCTTAAATTGTTGAGATTGTTTTGCTATCTTTTCGATTTGTTTCGTTGGAGCAAAGGAATTTGGCCTGTCTTTTGACTCGTGTGTCTCATGCTTTAAAGAAATATTTTTCATTTTGATCGTTTCCTTTCTTTACCAATCAGATTTAATGAACGTAATTCCAGATAAAATGTTGTTGTTGATTGTTTTTTTTTCGATACTAGGTCATCGTCATTTTACCTCCTGCTGATCGTGTGTTCTCTCTCGTGTTTTGCTTCAATATTTTGTGCTTGCGCAAACTTTTGCCAAGTTTTTTTGTTGTTAATAAATATTCTTCGGCGAATTAATTCTTTGTGACCAATGACTATGGTTCAGTTTCCAGAGTGTTTTCACTTCATAATTGACAAATCACTGGCATCTTTTGCAAAATATTTTCTTTTACATTCATAATGAAAACAAAATGTCAATGTTGTATTGAAGAAAAAGCCGATATCTTAAGATCTTCTATCTAAATGGTTATCCATTCATTTGAGTTATAATTAACAGCTATTAATCTAGCAATTTCAACATGTTAATGCAGAAAATTGGTTGAAACTCAATTTAACGTCCCTTCCTTCTTTCTCTCGGTCGTGTGTTTCTATACAGTGTACTGAGGATTTTGTTGCCTTCATTTTGGCCGAAGCAAATATTATCATTTCAACAGTGATTTGGAATTATGGCATTATCCCCAATCCATGTAATCACGATCATTGCGCTCTCTTCACTACGTCTATTAATTTCATGAAACCGCTGCGTTTTTTGTCTCTCTCTCTCTTTCTCTCTTCTGTCAGGCATTATTTGTATGATCAATCATTAGCATGTCATCACAATTAGCATCGTTTGGTTTATGATGAACCAAATGAATGCTACGATGAATCAGAATAAAAAAAAAACTGTGCCAACAATAAAGTATGTATCGTCTTGCTTGTCTCGTGTAATCGACACGAACGCATGCTTCAATTACATCGATTGATGATTTTACCCTATCGTTTTCACAAGATTTGTGTTAATTTTTTTCTTTCTCTCCTTTTTTAATTATTTGCACATTCTCTTTTTTTATTGCTGTTGTTTCGTCGGATAACATCGCGTTTAATTATTACAAAAAATGCAAATACATTTTGTTTGCGTACATATTTTTCAATATTCCGTATCTCGAGCAGAACAACAAAAAAAGTGCACGAAGATTAATTTGCATTTTAATTATAGTAAACGTCTAATTATTGCCAATTATCTCACCTCGGCATAATACATCTCTGAATTGGTGAAAATGTGTGATTTTAACTGGAGTTTCATCATTCGCTGAACACATTCTTATCGAAAGATTAAGTCTTTGGTGCATCATGCATATTCACTTGTATCACTCCATCTCTTTCTTTCTATTTCATTCTCGTTTTAAATTCTAATTCGAGTGCATAATTTTTCTTTCTTTCATTTCATCAATCAGTGACGATTCATAGTCATGAGTTTGAAAACTCAACGGCTCGCCTCTCTGTGTGTTCACGCCGTCGTAACTCTTTGATGTCGATCACACTCACTCAGCTTTGAGTTTGCGTGTCGATGTATTATTCTGCCATTCTTATTCAATTTTTAAAGATTCAAAAAAACTAAAAAAAAGTGAGAACAACAACTACATCGAGCAGCAGCCGCAAAGCTGTTTTCAGTTTTGTGTTCACCTCGACGTTCATCTTTATTAAATTATCACACAATTTATCCGGCCATTCGTTCAATTTAAGATTGGTGTTATTTTCATTTATTACTCACGCACTTCAAGCTATTGCAATGCCGCCATTTGACTAAAAGAAAAGTGTTGGCAGCGACTGATGTGCATATTTCTAACTTTTTTTGTTTTATTCCAACGGATCGCTTCTCTGTCTTGCATATTTGAAGAATGCACAAATGAATGGTTTCTTGAACAGTATTTCACTGGCAACGGAGTCTTCTGTTGGGTCGGCATTTAAAGGCTGAAATATATTACTGAATATGTGACGAATGTTTGGAAAATCCTTTCGGCAATTTGCACACCACAGCCCAGCGTAATATTCAAGAGCACAAAAAAGAATAACCAAATGACTTATAAACCCTGAAGCAATTTTCTTCTTTGTATACAAAGTGTGTGTTCGGTTGTATTATGATTGTACTCTTTTTTATAGATTATGTGTATGTTATGTTTTGTCTCTGGCTGTCTTATTTTTCTGGCACTCGTGTTCGTGCTGTCGGTAAATTCAATCAAGAGACTAAGGCACATGTGAAGTGTCTGCAATACACACACTCGACACATATCATATGATATATCATTTTAATGAAACTAATGTTATTTAAAGACCTTTTCATTATCTTTAGAAAACATTTCGTTTTATCTTTACGCCTCATTCGAAAAAACCATTCGGGAGTAAATGGTTGTTTTCAATGCAATCGTGCGCCTTGCGCACAATATTTTTCTGATATCAATATGCCATAATAATTCTATTGCACATGTGTGTTTCGTGATA